TCCATACATTAGGCACACTGACTTATAAGGCACATTAGGCACACTGACTTATAAGGCACATGATCACATCTTGACAATTAAAAATGATTCAATTTGCGCCTTATGGTTCGTAAAATATGGTAATTCGAAAGGTAAAATACTGACAGCCTTATTAGTTTAAGGATATAATATAATTGGCTAGGGCTCTAATTATTTAGACTGTTTTTCTTTGATTTCAGCAGTAAAGTAGCCTATTTTATACATTCTTGAAGTTCTGATTAAATCAACCAACCATTTGAACTGTAAATGATGCTGAATGAACTTATAGTTATTGATAAAATGTTACTGATTGTATGTTTTATTGTTAAAATAGATATTATTTTTTTTAAATTCGAGTATTCAAAATTTAGACATAACATGTTAATGCTCAAAACTCCTAATATACTGTTGAGGTCAGGCGCTGGGTATGTAAACTCTATTTTGGCAAAGAGTTTTCTAATGGAGGCCTTCTTACATTACTTGTTTGACAAGTTTTTTTTTCTGTGTTCATTGCTCATGGGCACAACTATGCACAGTGGAAATTGATACCATGACCTAATTTTTTATTTTTGGTTTGAACACATATAATTTCTAATACAAATTTTTGAATGACAGGAAGTACTAATTATATTGAAGCTAGACAACAAACATTAATATGACTATGAATATTAGTGAATATATAGTGCACATCTCTGTTCACTTTGATCCATCAAGGCCATGCTTGTTAAATCCTATTCGGTAAAAATTGAAAACCTTAGTGTTGCATGGTTGAAAGGCATTTAGCTTTTACTAGATATGATCACCATGTTTAGCCGGTGGGTTTATTTATTAATTCTCCTGTGGAGTGTATGTACCGAATGTTCAAGCTTAGCCAAATGTTTCATTTGATGTGGTATCGTAGGTTGAAACTAGGGCTGGGCATTTTCGAATAACTTGTGATTTCAGAATCGAATCGAATAATTTTTTCGAATCGAATCTCGAATACTTGAAAATATATAATTGTGAGCGATTTTATTATAGTAATTAGTCCTCTCAACAAATGAATTACTGAAGACATAGAACAAATCACTCAGATAGATTACTGAGCGTTCACACAGAATAACAAACACTTTATATCCATAAGAAAATAGTCATATGTTAGAATTTCGTTAAAAAAATATGACTCCAATGAAAAAAAAATGGGGAATTCATCTTGAAGATTAGGGAAAGATAAAAACAAGATGGCGGCGATTTGAAATTTAGCTCTGAACCGATTCGAATAATTTTACTATTCGATTCGATTGGATTATTCGATTCGAAATGCCCAGCCCTAGTTGAAACAAAAGGGTTAAAATTAGAATAGTTTTAGGACATTCTAATAAATATTTAAATGTTGAATTCGTGACAAAATTGACTGGCGCGACAGCAGCGCATTTTTTCACGCATGAGACACCAAACCGAAGCAAGAAGTTATATTCACCCCTATTTTCTTTTTGATTTCACGTTATTTTTCCTAACTCGAGAATGTTCAAACGGAGTAAGAGATGTACATGCAACTCCGCCAAACCAGTTTATCAAAAACAGTTTTGATATTTATATTGTAATAAACGCTTATGCGACTTGCTCTATCGTAATCATTAAAGCAATTAATTTATCGACAATTAGCCCTCTATAATTATTTTCATTCTTTTCGGTTAGTAAAACCCGTTAACTTGGATCGGTTCATGGATTAAAATTATTTTAAAATTTGCCTACAAAAACTGCAGTTTGTTGAATTCAATAAAATGAAAACTAAATTTGTCTCGGGCGTATATTTTCGAAATCCCCGCAAATATTTATAGTGGTCTTTTTTAATTCCTAAATTAAAAAATGACACTGTGATCTGCATTTAAAGGGATTCATCATCGTCCGGAGAGACAAACCAGTCGGGACGCTTTTGTTATTTTCTCCCCAATTTCTGACTACCAGTTAAAGTGTTTTCCGTGTTTAGTCTGGACTTGTAATGAGATTTACTCGTATGGCGACTGCGACATTTAAATTGCCACAAGGGAGGGTCTACACTCTACGTATATTGGAATTTTATTTTGAATTACCAATTTGATAAAAATTTAGTGCCGATTCATTGAAATCTTAGTGTCATATCATACGTGGCCTCAATTTGCGCGATCGTCGATTTTCTTGTCGTCGTATTTATTTATTTATTTTTTTTTTCTTTTCATCTTGGTCAGCGTGCCGTATTCCGTAAATCTGTACAAGTATCTATTAAAGGTATTCTATTATAATTTAATGCATAGATATACATAAAGGATGGGGAATACGTACGAAATTATTCATGCCTTGCAGTTATTCGAATTTATTAGGAAACCTATACGTCAAATTGTGAATGTAGTAAAATGGCTATCGGTTTCATGTTGTCGTTACTGAATTAAAGGTACTTTGACTTTTTCCGTTTTTGTTTCTTCATACATTTAGTAGTTACATTTTCTCTCAGTAGTTACATTCTTTCTCAGTATTTACCAAGCGCACGGCTCGGGGAAAATTATGGTTCGCCGCAAAGCCCAATCATAAAACCTCGGCATTCCGACCTTAGCATTACAGCATTTATTAGCGGGCCCAAAGGGTAAATATCTTGAAAAGTTAAGGTATTTATTGCTCTCGTTGATTGTTTTGTTTTGACTCGGATATTTTGTAATAGAAGCTGATTTAAATTTGATTATATCAATCGCTTTACACAAGTGTATGTTATTCGTTATCAACATAAACTAATAATAACGACTAACTTAATCTATGCAGAAATGTAATCCAAGATGACAATTAACCACCTACGTACACAGGCGTTAGCTAACGTAGTGACTATCAGTTAGTCACTTCATGTAGGCTAAAGTAAAATTGTACCGCGGGTTATTTGCTTGACGAGTCTGGGTGATATATAAACCGTGCATACTATAGCGCGATTATTGTCGGCCCTGCTCAAACGACTTAGCGTATCGTTTATAAGTTTGTAACTATTAATGAAGAACGCAATGTATCGCGGAATACCAAACAGGATGCTCTTAGACCCAATAGAATATTGCTGTTGCTAATGGTACTTCTCGCGCCAAAGGCCTCAACAGTTGGACAGCGCGGATTGTGTGACCGGTGACAACTGTTATTGTCGGGTCATACTTTTACATTGTAGTGCTAAATTCTCACTCCAAAATTTTTTGTCACATCGTCTTACTTGTTCATGCAGATTATTGATTATTGTATAGTTCTTATGATTTTTGTCCAACTGTTTGGTTTGTCTGGTTTGTCTAATACTGATATCCGAAGAAAGTAAAATATATAGGTACTGTGCTACTTATATTGTGTTGTTCCTATGCCAACCTTATCTCTTTTAGATATAAGTTAAGACGAAGTTTGAATGAAATTATAGAAAACAAATCTAGAGTTCAGGATTACAAGTTGTTAGTGTAAATTTGACTAAATGCTCACTCACTCACAAGGAGCTTATGTTTAATCATAATGCAGTCTGAGTATTGATGTAATGTTGATTTGAAATTTACGTGTTTAGGTGCATAATTTTTTCTTTCAGACATTATTGCAGTAGGATAAATCATCATTTAAGGCTGAGGTATTGATTTGTAAATGCAGTGCAATGCAATGAAATTGAATTTATTGGATTTCCTAATCAATCAAGGAGTTGGTAATGGATTAAATGTGGCTTTGCTGCAAGTGCTAAATCACTAGAGAATGCATGATGTGATTTATTAAATGGTTACAGATAGGATAAGATTGTCAGAACTGAACAGCACTGGGTTTAGTGTATGGCATTCTAGAAATTGAAATTGAGTTTATTTTGTCATTTGAAACCAGCTGAGAGTAAGCCGAGTGCCCGAGTAGCTACCTAAAAATTAGTGGACATGAAATTAACTTGTCCGGATTTTTCAAAATGAGAGTCTGTACCAATTCATAATACCAGTTATAATGACGATATATGGAGATTTAAAAATGAAATGCTGAATCATGAACCATCAGACGAAGCCCATGCTTGGGATCATTTTATATCTCAGCTGAAGTCGTTTTCAAAATCTTTATATACTTGATTGTCGTTTAAAATGCAGCATTGCTATGTATCATTCCCAATCAACTATACTGTTAACTATGCCTGAGTGATGATTTCAACTCGTTAATTCCCTGTAGGAATGAAAAAACAATCATGTGCTTTATTATAAAGGTTAAATAGAGGGGTGTATCACATGCCTTAGAGTTATATAGTGTATCGTATATATTTAGATAGGAAAGAAGTGTTAGACAAATGCCATTGTGATCCTCTGAGATTTAACTGATCTTTCATTCAAACTACCAAGCAAATCATCAATGAAGAATCAAAATAAAATTTAGAATCTTGTAATAATCAGCAGTTGTAGAATGGTAAGGGCCAAGGAGCTGAAATATTTTGCATAATGGTCCAGGTCTGCTGAGTGGGTTCATTTGTGATTGTATATTAGATAATGTGACGGAATTGATTGACAATTATTCCAGACAAGTGCTCTTCATATATTAAAATGAATGAGCATTTATTGGATATGTTTCAAATTGTTTTGTTAAGGTTCAATTTTTACATTAGTTACGAATAATGTTGTACATTCAGAAGTTGTGATGTTCTTATTATTTTCATCTTGACTGATCGGAAATGGTACCTTCATGCTGTAATCTTTTTTGATATAAGGGGGTGGTTAATGTAGTGTAGCCTCGTTCCTCAAAACTAGACAAAGTTAAATATAAAATGTGAGGCAGAAGTTGTATAGATATGTTTCTTTAATAATATTTGGTTCTTATATGCAAGAGTGCATTGTGTGCTAAGTTTATTATATGCATTAGCCTATAATTTCAACTTCAATTTATGCCCAACATTAACCGCATGGCATTTGCTTTCCTGTCTTTTTCTGGCAACTATATGGATTTTGGTGTAAACTAAAAATTATATTTGACATGCTGCCTCAATATTGCCTTTGCTTATTAACAAGATATTTAAATCTCTTCTACAGCTTTTCTTTGCATGAATCGACAGTAAATGTAATTTTATAATGTCTTCCGACTTCATGAAATCTCTTGGTCCTTGGACTTGAGTAACTAACAAAGAAAACTTCTTTCGTACTCTTATTTTCTGCTGCTTATTCCTGAAATTGGGGGAAAGACTTCCAATACAACGAGCTGTCAAAAGTTTGCTTTTCAAAAAGATTCAGGTCAAACAGGACTTATGCGTAGTTTGGATTTAATGTGATATCTGTAAGATGTCAATGTTTAATCGAGATGAAGCTTTTATCTGCGCTCTCAAAAAGAACCCAAACCAAAGAACAAACAAGGTAATATAACAACCACTCATTATATTTATGTTTTTAATGACTGGGTCGATTTGGTTTGTGGTACTGGTTGATATTCGAAGTTTTAACTAGGTAGTTTCTCTCAAAATTGGTAATTTTGCAATATATTTTCAACTCAATGATTGATGCTTGTAGTTATAATATTTCCCAATATAATATGAAGAATATTTTAAATCGGAGATTATGAGAATGACGGAGAAAAATTAACTGTTATGCTATTTAGTGATCTAATATACTACTAAGTTTATTTCTCTCAGTCGAATTATTATATCATTGTTATTGATTATTAAAATGAAAAAATACAAATATAGAGTTTCTGAACTATCTTCAGTGATAAAAATACTATATTACGGAGTGAATTTTCGAATTGATGCCATATGTATTGATGATACATGCCATGATCAATTTGTTTTGGACTCTTTTTATAATTTACTTATATTTCTTCAAATTTATTTTGGTAAGTGTAATATATGCTAACAAATGCAATACACATACACATAATAAACTACCCATTTTAAACGGCAGGATCTTGAGATCATCTTTTCTCGACTACACCGATTTGAAGCTCTTTCAAATTTGAGAGAACAAGGTCTCAAAAAACTTTGTGCTGAAGTGAGATATGAATGGCATGATTCAAACGAGATACTATATGGGTAAGTAATTATATTTTCACAAGTCTCCATAAATTAGTGATATTTGGGTGATAGTTTTTATTACTATTACGGTAATATTATTGCAATTCCAAGAAATATTTTTTGTGTATTCAAATAGCTAAAGTTGCTGTATTTTTCATAAAATTTGGTATTCTACATCAGTTAGGGTTACGCAAGACTAACTACCTATTGTGCTCTATATGTTTGTGCTGATGTATCTGTATGCATATTGGGTATGGTCCGTATGGATACTGTAGCAAAATGACCAGTACTTTTCTTTTTGTGATTTGAGATTCTTGATGCATTCAGCATTCAAGAGTCTTTAAAAAAACAGAAAGTTCAAAAGTTGTTATTGTTTGTTTGCTCTAATTATGATAGCAATAGACATAAATACATATTGTTCAAAAATTACAAAATGGCGATAGTAATATTATCCCAAAGGTAATAAGAATGAATAATTATATGTCATCTACCGGTAGTTCCATTACAAATTATGAACTTCAAATTCAGCCTTAACACAGAAGTATATGGATTTGATGGTCAATGTCTGTGTTCTGAAAACTTTTTTCATTGTGACCCACTTGGCATGGCCAAATATTTTGTGAGCTTCAAGAACTAAAATAAAAATGGAGTTAAATTTAATAATACAGAAAATTTTGAAAAATAAATCATAAAAATCACAATACCTTATTAAGCTTGATGTGTTAGCATGTTCTCTAACTAAAGATCGAATCTTGGCATTATTTTGGTGATGGTGCATTTGGTTCCAAATCTTAGATATATTTTGTTTGACATAAGCTAGTGTCTATAAAAATGTTAATGCGACCCCCATTGTGCTCTTTCACGACTTAACTGGGAGGTCAGGACCCCAGTTTGAAGAGCCTTGGTCTATGAAATATGAACTCATGAATGAATTTGTTTTGTTGTGTTACCCATGTCAACTGGGAAATGTATAATTTAAATAAGGTTACCACTTTGTTTATCTTGTCTCTCAACTTGTGTTTCTAGGAAAGATGATCCTTGTACCTGCTGGTTTATTTTGTTGTCTGGATCCATATTTATTCAGGGCTCTATGTTTCTACGAAACACAAGGTATGCATTTATGTGATGAATTTTATTCAAAAATGTACAGTATTTCAGATTTGATAAATAGTTCGATGTATATAATGCATAAAAGAATAGTTAATAGGCAGTTTTGGTTTTACCATCCTGGATGAATTTAAAGTACTATCTTGTATTGTATTACAATGCTTCATGTTCACAATCTACATACAATATAGTCAATAGGAAGTTGAAGGAAATCCTGGTTTCAAGAAGAAAAGGTTGATATTGACTCACGTATTTAGTTACCTCTGTTTGGATGTAAAGATAAAACAGCTTTATTCAAGGAAAAAATCTTTAGTTATTATTAAGTAAATGAAGTTATGCTAGAGATGAACCATTTTATGAAGCAAAATAGTATATCTTATTCACAAATAAACTTCATTAGTGACATTTTTCAAATGGAGATTTGAAATAATCATATCTCAAAAATTTAAATAATACATTGAAGGACATTTTTAACATTTACTTCTTGATCATACACATTTTTTATTAATATAATTGTACTTGTTATTCATGCATTATACTAATTTTGGAATCATGAGTTCATAAATTCACCTCAACCCAATTATATGAGACGTTGCCTTAAGGCTATGTCATATGAGCCTAATCATTCATGTCAATTCAGCTTAGCCATATCGTTATGTTTGCTTAATGGGAATAACAATGAAATTGAGTGGTTGACTTGGTCTAATACCGAAGTGCCTGTGCTTTATTAAAATATTGTATGTTTTGCAATCTGAACTTTTCCACAGCCCTAAAGAAGCCTGACTTGTCAGGCCTATTTTGTGTCAAACTAAAAATAATTGACCAACAAATTCACAACATTAATTGCATTAATCATATCTACTTTTGTAAGAAGAACTCTAACCAAGTCATACTTCGGTCAGCCTTACTAGTGATTCAAGCTAGCCGTGGATATTGATCAAGTTAATGGCAACTTTGTATGTACTAATTACAAAGCAAAATTTCAACTTCCTAACATGCCTATGCTTGTTATTTATTTTGTTGTCAAACATTTCAATGATTCAAATATTGAAAAAAAAAATTTTATGTTGTAATTTTTCATTTTGAATAAAGGAACTTATTTAAGACATACTTTATAACACAACCATGTTGCAAAATTGATTCAGATGGAACATTTTATAATTCATATCACGCTAAATTGGTAGAAGTAGTCTGAAAGTACCAAACAGACTTTATTTACATAGTATTTTATTTTGGTTTTAACAACTAATGATCAGAACTATTAGTAAGAGGTGAAGCGATAGTTCAATATTTAGTTTATAGCTCGTAATTATGGAATAATGCCTCATTACACACCCTAATAGAGTCGTTATGATCATAAGTGTGTCTAGTCTGCAATACACTAAATATGGATTTGTTGTCTTGTGATGGAATTTCAGATTTATCTTGGCGGAGAGTAGGGATGGGCAATGTAGAATAATTTACTATTCTAGAATATTCTGGAATAGGTAAATCGAATCCAGAATACCGAATCCTATTCTATTTTCATACTTATTCAAATAGAGGGAATTTTCCTGATTGCTGGATTTAGATGTCAAAAAATTATAAATGTATTACTATAAATGTATTATTTATTTGGAAATGTCCTTAACATTGGATTTGATTTGATACTAAACAGGCATTTCTCAGGACAATGAAATCTAAGAATATTACAATATTTTTGCTTTCAATTGTTCCAAATGTATGTAATCTCTAAATACTTATATGCTAAATTACGCTTCAAACACTTTAATAGTAAGCGGTTAAATACAAAAATAGATATGAAACGGCATTAAATCATTATTAATGTTATAGAGTGTCGAGTGTACTAAAACACACCCGCTGAGAATTAATTAGATGCAGGACCAGACGTGTGGCCACTGCAACCTATGCACCGGTGTAAAATATTAAATTTAACCACTATCAATTAAAATCAACTTATTATTCTGTGCGATCAAGACGTGCAAAACAAGGTTCCCGTAAACGCGATTTCGTAGTTAGTTATTAGTTAACATCATCTAAAGACGAATTCAATTTCTTTTATTATTGTTACATATCATTATCTACCCAGACTTGGCTCTACTCAAACTCAATACGTAACTATTTTCGCCAGATGCGGCATCTTTTTTTTAAGTTTATCGGCGAATAAAATTACTACAGACACTCGATCAAACGTGCGTCTATCTTGAACGATAGAAACGGACCGAAAGATATGTAATCTTTTGGGAGTGAAATTTAAATGCGGCAGATCGTCGTGTTATGCGATATAACTTTGTATTTCGGAAACTGGTGTAATAAAAGTAATAAAATTATTCCAAAATAATATTTGATTTAAATTAATCGCAAGTAAAGTCATAACATTTTACGCCTGGCTTTTGATTTACATGCATCATTTTCTGGGGAAAACTCGCCGGTCGCGGAAAATCATTTACAGTAATGTAAAATGAAGCAAGGCACGCCTGTAAACAATTGAAGATTGTTGCAATCAGATTATCGTAATATCGCCAGTCAAGTCGGCACAAATAATTATTATTATTAAACCCTCGCTAGATAGCAAAGCAGGAAAACGCAAAAAATGGTGCAATAACGAGTCTTCGTCGTAAGGTGTACTTCACGAATTCTTGTCCAGAATACGCCGATTGAGATTACTGTGTTTGATGTTTACCGATTTTACGGGTTCTTTGCGATTAGGCAAGTTTAATTAAACGAGAGAAATTTCCACGCGAGAAAGAACGCTCGTCTTTAATTGATAAATTAGAAATCCGAAATACAAAAATTGACGCCCGGCGAAAACGCAAAAATGGTGCAATAACGAGTCTTCGCCCTGAGATGTACTTCGCCGACTTCCTGTCCAGAATACGCCGATTGAGATTACAGTGTTTGAAGTTTACCGATTTTACGGGTTCTTTCCGAGCAGACGCAAGTCTAGTTAAACGAGAGAGATTTCCACGCGAGAAAAACGCTCGTCTTTAATTGATATTTAGAAACCCGAAATGCAAAAATCGACGCATGGCGCCGGAGAGGCGGAAACCGAATCCTGTTATCGGATCCTGTTGGATTCGAATACTTTGGGATTCGAATCCTCCGGATTCGGTATTCTATATTGCCCATCCCTAGCGGAGAGGAAAAATAATAAGGCTGTTTCAATGATAAGTGCACATGCTCTCCTGCAAAATTATATTCTGGATTTGGTGATTAGTCGTCGAGCTATTTTGCTACGTTTTGTTGAGAGCAGTTAAATATTAATCTACTAAAAATTCCTCTCTGTGTTTTCACTGTTGGTAAAACACTTCCGATGATATTCTTGTCTTGTTCTAAAATTAGTTTTGGCATTCATTTTTGTACACGCTACATTAAATGATTACCACACTAACAGTCGGTCATAATGGACACAGTCTTAGCAGTTGATTGTCGTTTTCTATTGATTAGTTTTCGATTGATCTTTTCTGGGAATGTTACAACCATTGTTGATATTTTTTCATTGGAAGTTGGTAAATATTGGTACAATACAATTTTAATTACTTTAATAAATCACACTGAAGCAAGGTATTTTTTTGTAATGTTGAACTCTGGGAATTTTTAAAATGAAGCTTGCATTCATGAGGTAAACAACTCTTACCACTGCATTGGCCTGTAGATTGGCATTGGGGATATTTTGTGCTAGAGGAATGTTAGAGGGATTCATGTAACAATGGTATTGTGGGGTGCGTACAGTTTCTTCCACCCAATTAATTTGTAACAATTACCTTGAACTGTTTTTTCATATCCGTACCCAGCTTACATTAGTAACTGATTGAGAGGTTGTGGTTTTCTGTATGATTAAGCCATCTTATTCACTTCTCATCTATGCGATATATATAAGAAAAAATTTCTTTTTTATTTCTGTTGGTCAAAAAAAACTATTTTGGTTGTATACCATAATTTATGTAATTTTTATGCCCTAGTTTACGATATCGTCACTCGTCATATTAGAATAACACCAAGCTGTTGTTTGAATAGGCATATTCTTTTGGGTATTTTCTACGTGCCGAGATAACATCAATCCCGATTTAGTCGCCATACTGTCGGATGTTGTTTTAACATTTCTCGGGCGTTTCATGTTTTCATTTAAAAGTTGTCCGCCAGAGTGCGATGTGGAGCGAGAAAATGTGCCGATGAAAATTGAAGCACAGCCTGTTGCAATCCCTACTGACAATTTAGCGTTTGGTGCGTTCCCGAATTGCAGACCTGCATTTAGATGATGTTTTCACTGTTTCTTGGTGATTGTGCAGTTATATTTAACATATATCACTGCCATATATCACTATTGTCATGAAGTTTTCGAATCTTAACCAAGTGCTAATTCAGGGGAAACTGATCTTCTATGATCATGTTGTGAACAGTGTCATGTTGTGAACAGTGAAAATACTTGAAACGTATCTCTTTGATATCAAAGAATATAATTTTGCACGGCATCAGTTTTCTTGGTATCTATTAAACCGTAATTTCCCGTTCGCCATCTCCATTCATGCATTATTAAAAGGGGGACTCTTGAACGCTGTGGAATTTCAATTTGCCATTGTAAACATTTGGAAACGGAAGTGCATTTATTGTTTTATGTACTTTACATAAACTGGTTTATATGAGCGCGGTCACTGTTCAAAAGAATACTGCCGAAATTCAATAAAATTTAATAGTTATTACAGCAAGAGGTTCATTTTTGTCACTACTTCGAACACTTTCTCAACTAAAAGTATAAAATTATAATATGGTGAAAGTGAATGTGTTTTGTGTTATGTGTTTTGGTTATCCTGCTGAATTATATATATATATCGTGTTTACTTAGTTGTTGAGTTCATTACTGTAACCTCAAGTTCCAGCTGCAGTTTAGCTTGAAAGACTCAGTTAAGCACTCTTCCTGTCTCCGGTTCAAGTACTCCACTTTGCGATATCAGTACTACTCTCGTGTTCTTGGTACATAAAATTATTTGGACAGCAAACAGATA